CCCCAAAACCCCAAAACCCCAAAACCCCAAAACCCCACAGAGATATATTGGGGTTGACACTGATGATAATAATTAATATTCATGAACAACTTCACCCAAAATCTTTCTAAAAAACAAGGCAACAGAACTGGTATTAAGAATATCGGGAAGTGGAAGAAGTCCATTCTCCTAAACTGGATCAGGGAGCACAGAGACAGCCCTTATCCGACTGAAGACGAGAAGTACCAACTCGCAGAGGCCACTCAACTGACAGTCAAACAAATATCGAACTGGTTCACAAATGCCAGAAAGGTAAGACTACCTCTAGCATTTTGATTAGTCTGAGAACATCAACTTAAAGATCTCAGAACTAGCCATTTAATTAGAGTTCTTTTCTAATGCTTGAGCTGAGCAAAACCTTGGTGACTCTGCTAATGTTTACAGAATTTGTCACTATTGTAATAGTTAAGGTGTTGACCCAGAAATTTCGAGTGTTTGAGACTATCATTTGCCTTCCAAGGTTATAAGTCATTTACTTTCAAATTTGGCTATAAATTTTAACAATGTTCTAGAGGAACTCTTCGGAAATGGATAGTTCTAAGTTGATCAAAAGACGTAAGAGGGTACTTGCTTCCATGCCTTGTCAACCAAATTTCCAAAAATTCACTAAAGTCAATCCTGAAGTAAGTTATTGCTTAAATTTGTACTACCTCATCAAAAGTCGGTGACTATATTGTACTGAGTCTTATTGCTTAGCATCAGTTGTGATATTAGCTACACTGAGGATCACTTCTCAGTCATAGAGTTGGCCCTGCGGCTATCTGCAAAACCAGAAATGAAGATAGTTCATATTAGAAGGTCTCATATGATTATAATATGGTCGTCACAAACTTCTAAAATTGATTTATTTTCTCAGAACTATCCTGACTAGTCCAAACACAGACTGTATCGTCAGTTTGGAAATTAAGGCACTCTGTTCTAGCAAGGCAGAGGCGTTAAGTTACATTAAGGATTAGAATTTTTCTATTTGAAAACCTTACTTTTATTGGATAAGTCTCTTTTAACTTCGAAATATTTCAGAAAATAGTGTTATTTAAAAAATTTCTAGTTTTTTTCATACTTACTTAATTACTCACGCAAAGAAGAGACCAGGGCTTGTCCATAGTAATTGGGAAGAGGTTTCAAACTAAAGGAAGACTAGCTTTAGAGTAGAAATAGTCCCTACAAATACATCTCTTGATATCTAGAGGTTCTTTAATTATGAAATAGTTTATTCCATCAATCAGTAACAATAAAAAGTAAATTTTTTCAGTATTAATATTTAATAGCTATTACCTAGAGAAATTTATGATGTACAAATTGCTGAAATTATCGATTCCTTTCTTGGGATCTCTAAAGTAGCCCTTCTGATGTAAGAAATATCAGAACAGCTCTAACTAACCATAACTTGTAATTTCCCCCATCATCGATGACCAGACCTTCATTTAAAGATTCATGCAAAACTACAACCTAGTTAAACAATACTAGTGTTGTTGCTTATATACCAATTAACTTTAAAGCAAAGTAGACCATTGTGCGATCGACTCTCCTATCTTTGTTTAAGTCAGCAACGAAGTGTCTATATGTCACTTAAAATTTGTCTATTTTCTGTTATAAATTTCAATGAAGCTGAGTACTGAAATGTCACTTTCGACAATTTATTTATGTGAGTATTCCTAACTTTTGTTTAGATCAAAATTCCACATATGGAAAATATGACACATTGGGAGGCTTCAACTCAGCAGTTTGCAATGAGTGTGGACAAGTTCTGTTTCTGCAGCATTGATGAAGACCTGAACAAATTAAGACATCAGTTTCAGTCAACCTTTAGAGAAGAACAGACGAATCATTGCATTGACTTGTTCTGGTTGCTCCAGCAGTAAATATTTAGTTCTAATAATTTTCTAAAGTTTTGTCTCGGTTTACGCCTTGTTGATGCTTAACTTGATTTCTAATTAGCATATTCAGGTCGATTGACTGATTTTAAACTTGATTATCATAATATGAAATGAACAGGAGATCCTGGCAATTAGCTGCTGATAAAGTTGAGACTTTGTTATCTCCTATTATCTTCTACTTTAATTAGATCCAACCAAATTTCTCTTAAAGCGTCCCATATTTTACAAATTTGACCCGGTATTTTGGTAAGCAAGATATGAAAATAGACCCAAATATTCTCTGATTGCTGACTATCGGCTAGACTTAAAAAGCTAGTAGATACTTAATTTCAAATGTTTCATAGACTTATGAAGTAGATGAATGCTTGCTCTTTTTTGAAGCATACAATTGATATAAAATGATAGAACAGCTCTCGTGAAGGCCTCTCACACTGAACTGGCTGTTTCCTTGCTAATCAGAAATAAACACGAGTCTCAGAGTCATTAACACTCTGAACTTTGCTGTTATGCTTCATTGAGGTTCTATCAGCACTTCATCATAACCATATCAGATTTTCATATGAAGTTATTGGATGGTCAGAAATTAAGCAATCGCCTGTTGTCTCCAAGTATCAATTAGGCTCTCTGATGATGATTAGAGTTAAGCTGATATACTTTTAAAATTCTGGGTAGCCCCAGCTTTTCGTCTTAGATCAATTTGAAATTCTGATATTAGTTTAAACCATTATGTTACTTTAAACTGAGACAAGGTTAACGAGTCTATTAGCAAGATGAAGGTTAAACTGTTAAATTAAAGTTAAAGTCTAATTGTCAGTCAGACTAGCCACCTCTATAGGCTCAGCAACTCCATATTTAACGTTAATCCTGGCTTCTCATACATAAAAAGAATTTGAATTTCTGGTGACTTAATGTAAAATATTTCTTCAAGAAACATTTAGAATGAAAAGTTAATGTTAGGATAAAATGGGCAACTTGAAATGTTTCAATACTATAGTTGGCAGAAAATTATCGACTTAAAGCTTCAAAAAGCTTGAACTGAGTTAATTATAGCACTCAAGATCATTCACAGCTTGAAACACAACTTTGAACCGAAAAGTACTACTATAGAACTTAATTTGAAAATTCCATTTAAGTTATTATTGCGAAATTGTTCAAAATGGGATCTTATGATTTCAGAAAGAACTTCTGGCATCAGTCCAGCTTCAAAAATCTGTCAAAATTCGATAAAATTGTCAACTGCAGAGCTCCTCTTAATTTATGAAATATTCACCTAAAAGGTTGATTAAGGTGTTTTAGATAAATAGTCAAGGTGTTGATTCATGAGTCTAATTTCAGAATTTTGGAACAAATTCTTCTCCCAAATCTTCCCGTCTGAGACTTACTAGATGGAGTGTAGATGCAATTCTACATTTATCTCTCTCTATTTCTTTGGATTCTGAGAGCTATAACACAGATGCTAAAAAGCGTTCAACGGAAAGGAAATGCAATTTTGTGTCTGTGAATCTGTCAACCAATTGAAAAGAATAAAAAGATGTTTTACTCAAGAACTGAGTATGTTCAGCTCTCATAAATAGTGCTCTTGCTTGCTGTGAACTGTTCAGGCTATAAATTATTATCAAGCATCTATAATTGTAGATAAATTGACAGATTCGCTGACATCCTAGTGGAATAACCATAATTAAGAACTTATGTTGGTGAAAGCTGAAAATTGTTAATAAAAATTATGATTACTAGAGTCTTATTTTACATACTATCAAGCAAAATTTGCATGAAGTAAGCCGAACTAGACTTTGAGACGAGACTATGATGAGTCTCTGCTTCATTAGCTTCTTTTATTAAGCAAGATAAAGTCTTTAAAACACCCAAACTATGATGACCACATAAAAATTTACTCCCCCACATCTATCCAAATCTCACACTAAAGTCTCACTTCCCCTACAATCAGACCCCATTTATAAATTTCACCCAAAAGAACCCAACCAGCTTACCTTTCTTATCTAAACCACTATACTTTACATCCCCAACCCCCAAAACCCCAATTCACCCCTCTAACCCCCAAACAATCCTACCAACTCCATCTCAACCCCTCTCTCCAACCCCGGGGTTTTGGGGTTTTGGGGTTTTGGGG